ATAGGGCGCTTTCTTTCGGCTGTCCTTTGGATCAGTGAGGTGCAAGTCAAAGTTGTTGCAAATTAATTTCAGAACCGGTAGCTTTAATTTATATAGAGAATCGTCCTTCACCATCGCGCATACGTCGTACTGCTCGTACGCAATGGGATGCCCAATTTGAAAAGATGACAGTRTGACTTGTTGGGCGTTGCTGAAGTTGGTCTCCTCTTGAGCAGCAAGAATATCAGCCTCTGAGGAACTCTTTTGCTTCGCTGCTTGTCTGGAGAAAAACGCCTTAATTTGCTGTGCGGTCAAGAATTCTGATACTCTAAACATCCTCTTTCCGTCTGTTCCCACACATTTCCTCATTTCTTTTGACACCGCTTCTGCACCGACCTTATGTCCAGAAGACACGCCGACTTTGAACTTTGCAAGGAGAAAAGACCTTTGTTTCTCGTTAAATCGATAAGATTTGGTTGCTTTCTTCAGCGACCATCCCTCTTCAAGTATGGGGTGATTAGCATCCTCCTTATCAGACAAGGTAGCCGTAAGCGTTGGGATGACTCCAACTCCCTCTTCTAAACGTAATGCGTACTTTGTCTTTGCTAAATCTAACAAAGACTGCCTTTCAACCATTTTCTCGCACTTTTCCAGGGATAGGTGACGCCCAAGATTAGAGTACCTGTCATGAAGAGATAATTATGCACCATAAGTTGACGGGTAAAATGAATAAACCGTGAAGCAATTCCTTATAACAAACCTTTGGAAGACTTTAACGCAGCCATCCTCTGGACACGAATACAGGTTGCTTGCTGCTTCTTGTTGTGGGTCAGAAGTGCTTTCTTCAGTCGTTGTAGGCTTGGTCTTCTTAGCAGTTTTCACAGCCATTGTTCTAAAGTCTCCTGGGGAGAATTGCGCGTCGAGCCACTGGTAACTGTAATCTATAAATTGCAAAAGAACGAGAAATAAATCGCACACCTTATGCTATAAGTGTAAATCTAAACTATTTTATTACCTTTCCTCAATTGTTTCATTACTACTTTGCCACTGCCAATGCCATACGCTCTCCACGCGAAAAGCTTTCCGTTACGGAACTCGTAATTGGTCAACGTACTAATTCCTGGAATTTTGTGTTCCACGAGGTTGGACTCGTCGACTTTGTCAACTGCAACAACTCTTACTCCAGCAATTCCACCATGTGACAACAGCGCGTCTTTCATCTCCTGGGTTGTTGTAACATCATGTCCCTCGTTGATGTATAATCSAATATGGGACTTGGCGGTCGCAGCCAACCTGTCGGCGGCTCCCTTCCCACCTTGTGGGTCGCTGAAATCGATACCTTGTATTTTGATGCCAGTAGCTTTTTCGATGGTAGGGCAGGAGAGGATCGTAGTGGCGGAGTGGTAGCACCCCGCATTATCTTGACGAAAATAGGCTTTGTTGATATCGGGGTGCTCGTTCTTTAAGGTCTGGAGAACGTGCTTCATTATGACGACAATAGCAGGGCTGTCCTGGCTGCAAGACTGAATTAGGTGGATGAATGCTTGCCACTGTAGCTCACCTTGTTCTCGGCGATAGACAACGGATATATGCCATGATATCCCCCTTTTCCCGAACCAATCGCTTTGTGATTCTCGATACATATGGGGGATGAACTTCATGGCCCAGTCATTATTATGAGTACGGTGCTATTGTTGATGGTGTCTAAGATGTCATGTCGTGCTTGGTCTTGACGCACTGACTTTAGCTGGTGGCACTTCCAGGACTGTATTGCACGTTTGGCTGTACCGTGGATGTACAATGCCTCGTCTAACTCGTCGTTGCTTGGAAACGAAACTTCTCTTATTAGTCCTTCTATGTCCTTGATTACACTATCCAGAGCTTCACAATGCTCACAACTCTTGTCATGCTTGTGTTTGCATAGTTTTCGCAGGGTTTTGTCTAAAGGATCGCTTGTAGCATATACGCTGCAATGGTCAGCGATCTGGGATTCCTCGCTGACATGTTCATATCTCATATATAATATCTATTTTTAATATTTGACTATTTGATATGCGGACACTGAATGTGTGCAACACTCTGCTCTATTGCTACTGAGCACTGTAAAGTTCAGTGGTAATATGCCTAGCTTCTGTGTTGCACACATTTAGTGTCTGCATTCTAACATTGTCATTATTTGTAAATTTACATTTGTGTTATTTTTTATATATTTATATTTTAGTCTTCATTTTTCGTTTTTGTTATATATTTATTTTAGAGGTCTCTCTTGTAAATCACCTTATGGTGACAGCGATAACCTCAATAAAGATTATTTATTATTATTAT